CCTGCCCGCTGTCCGTGGAGGTTTAACGCGGTTCAGGGTTGGAGAGCCCAGGGCTGGAGCATCCCAGAGGGTCCCGGAGCGGCTCCGGCCCCGCGCCCGCCTCCCCACTGCGACCTCAAGCCACGCCCCCAGCGCCTGAGGGGCAGGGCTTGGATTCCCGCCTGCAGCGCTTACCAATGGCAGCGCCCCTATTCAAATGAGGGGGCGGGGCTGAGCGCCAGGGCAGCCCAAACAGCGCCCGGGCGGCGGGCCAGGGGGCGGGGCTTCTTGCCGGGCATCCGCCCGTTGCCACGTGATAGCGGAAGTCCAGCCCCCGCCGCGCGCCGCCTCACGGGTCTGGGCGGGGCCTGGTCATTGTGGCGGGAGCGTTAATTAGTTAGAGAAGGTAATTAGCAGAGAGGGTGGAGGTTGTTACGAAAGGTTTGTGTGAGGGCTCTTGGAGGAGTGAGGTTGTGGGTGGCCTTTCCCTTCCTTGGGGAGTGGGAAACGGGGCGCAGTTCTTGTGCGGGGGTAATTAGGTAATTAGGCTGAGGAGTAATTAATTTGGCTGATGAAGGAGAGTGAAACGCTTCTTCAGTGGGGATAGTCAGGGTGGGGGTGCAGTAGAACTGAGGGGTGCTCGGGCCGGGGAGTCTGTGTGCTGTTAATGGTGCCTGAGGGAAAGGATAATCCCTGGAGGGGCAGTTCGGCCTAGGGAGGTGTCCCTGCCCTCAGGGTGGGGGTTAGGGCTGTGCTGGGTTATCAACCATTATTAACCTGAGCCACTTTCCTCTCGGGGTGACTGGCAGTTGTCCCTGTGTCCTTGTCCACGAGGACTGGGGAGGAAGAGCAGACCCTTGCTTTAGTAGTATTCCTGTGACAGGGAATGGCCCATCCCTGGAGCAGCTTTCAGCTTTCCCCCTGCACAGGAAGGGAGAGATGGGGCCTTTGGATAGAAAGGGGCACTGATGGGTGGCCCCAGCAGGGCAGCGGGTACCTTAACCAGGAAGGGACACAGTGGTCCCAGGGCAGATGTTACAGTCCCATAAGGGGTTTAGAGCCTGCTCATGGCCTTCCCAGTTCATCAGGGTTTGTTAAACCCCAGCATTTATTAGAATCAGCTGGGGACTGAGAGGATGGGATGGACTGTAAAGGGTCTCATGCTCCTCTTCCAGCTGGGTGCAAAAGCAGCTCCAGGAACTGGCTTAGCACTTCTGTGACTCTCATACCACATCGGGATAACAGTTCAAAACCCAGGTCCTTAGCCAAAAAGAGCTCTCAATTTAAAGTGCTATTTTTGAAAATCCAGGTTTATCAGGAGTAGAACTTGGTCTCAGAGCACCATGCAGAGAGCATCACGGCTGACAAGGGAGCTCTCACTCCTGGCTACGGAGCCACCTCCGGGTATCACCTGCTGGCAGAACGGGCAGGTCAATGACCTGCAGGCACGTACGTACCTTGGGGGCTCCCAAAGGCAGGGCTGGGTTGCAGTTTGCTGCTGGATCTGTGCATGCTTTGGGCTTGTGGAAGAAGCTCTATGTGGAAGCATTGGATTTTAGTTTCCTTTAAACATAGCTTGGCCTGTGCCTTGGCTGGTCTGCCCTTAGTTTTGATTGTTGGGGAGTGGAACTGTATTGAGTTCCTGGATGCAGGATCATGTCCAGGGAGGCTACAGCTACTGGTAACCAGCATGGGGCTCCAACGAGACGAGCTTCTGCTCAGGAAACCATTTATTCAACACAGGAACAAACTCAGCTTAGATCCAGAGATGGAGAGCCCCAAACAGAGGCAGGATGGTGGGTTTTATGGGACAGAACCAGAGTGGAGTTTAAAGTCTGGGTCTGATAGGAACATAGCAAGGGAGAAACCCCAGGGGCACAGAACCAATCCAAGCACCCTGGACTGCCACCTCATGAGGGTCTAGGGTGGGGAAACTCTTCTGGCCTCACAGGGCCCATCCCCTGAGACAGAGGGACAGAGTTTACACTTCCCGGGCTTTAAAGACATACCTCTCACTTTAATGATTCTCATCTGAAACAAAATCTTTGCCTCTCTGGGCAGGGCCCCTCACAGAACCAGTCTTGCATTCTCCTCTGTTAGGGTAGTGAGGCCCTGGCACAGGTTGCCCAGAGAAGCTATGGCAGTCTCATCCCTGCAAGTGTCCAGGTTAGATAAGGCTTGGAGCATCCTGGAACTGGATGGTCTTTAATGTCCCTCCCAACCCTTAACACATTCTATGATTCTGTCACCTGAGCAGCTCTGTAACTGTGGGGGGTATGTGGGGACTGCTGGACAATGAGATGATCTTGAAGGTCTCTTCCAACCCAAACCATTCTGTAATCCTGATTTTGAATGTAATTTTTGTATTTTTATCTTACTCCTAAAGAAATTCTAGGAGGTGTGGACACACCATATGAGAAAGGAATATTCAACCTGGAAATCATAGTTCCTGAAAGGTAAGTGGGCAGTAGACTCCAGCTAGATTAACTAAGAAGAAATTTTCCCCTGTGAGGGTGGGGAGGCCCTGGCACAGGTTGCCCAGAGAAGCTGTGGCTGCCATCCCTGGAAGTGCCCAAGGCCAGGTTGGGCAGGGCTTGGAGCATCCGGGATAGTGGAAGGTGTCCCTGCCATGGCAGGGGGTGGAGCAAAATACACTTTAATGTCCTTTCCACCCCAAACCAGGCTGATTCTCTGGTGTAGTCCTGCTCTAAATGAGTAAACTGATGTAAGGTATTTGCTGTAAATGCTAACATGTGAGTCTTTCCTTTATCCTCTCAACAAGGAATTGAGACCCTCTTTTTAAGGAATGTAATTTTTCTAGTAACTGATGCACTTACACTTACTTTGCATTGAACATTAAAGATGTGTGATGAAAAACCTGGAAGTGTAATGGTAAGACTTGCCTTGTCATGCTTTCTCAAAGCTTTCTGGAAGGAGCTTTTCCATCAGTACAAAGTTTCTTATGTTCCCTTGTGGAAAGCTACCCAGAGAAGTGTTAGTCAGACACAGCTGGCAGCAGCAAAGGCAGAGCACTGCCTCTGAAGATCTGTGGGGAAAGGTGTCATGTAGGCTGGGAGGAAGAAATGATGGAATTGCTTGGAAGGCAAAACAGGTGGTCCTGTAGGTATAATAATAACTTGTTTCTTAATGCTTATACCTTCAGGTACCCGTTTGAGCCACCAAAGATTCGCTTCCTGACCCCCATCTACCATCCTAACATTGACTCTGCTGGAAGGATTTGCCTGGATGTTCTTAAGTTACCCCCGAAGGTAAGACAGTGCTTGGGTGTGGGTAAGTGAGCCTGGGCAGGATAATGAACTCCTTATTTGCTTCTTGTAAAAGCCTGATTGAATGTCTGTTTGCTCCTGACTTATTTACAGGGAGCAGGGAGTGAAGTTTTGAGTGGCATCTCATTTGTTTAGAGGCAGAACATGATGTTCTTTGTTCCATATAAGTTTCCAAGGCTTTAAAGATTGGAGTCAAAAGGCATTAGGTCTGAAAATGAGTTGCCCCAACACAGCAGAGATGTGCAGGATACAGCCCATAGAATCATGGAATCGAGAGTGGGTCTGGTGTTTTCCATGGGGCACTAGGTGCTGGAAGTCCCAGGGCAGATGTGGGCAGGCTGGGTTGAAGTGCTGTGGGTTCTGAGGTGTCTCTGGGTTGCTGTGTGCTGGTTTCTCTCTCTGAGCTGCTGCTCCTGTCCTGTTTCCTTGCAGGGTGCATGGAGGCCTTCCCTGAACATTTCCACCCTGCTGACCTCCATCCAGCTGCTGATGGCAGAGCCCAACCCTGATGACCCTCTCATGGCCGATATTGTACGTGAGCTCCTCTTCCTCTCTCCTGGACACAGGTGGGGAGGGAGTGGTGGGCTGCATTTATCTGGATTCACTCTGCTTTGACATAATAATAATAATTATAAAATAATCTGCTTCACTCTGGATTGCCACACTAGGAGTGTGGCCTGACCTGGGTCAGCTAGGGCATCCCTGGGCTTCTCTGAAGCAGCTGAAGCCAGAAGAGATGGTCAAGGTCTTGTCTTCAAGCCGTTATCTTCAGTGCAAATGGCAGCACAGGTTCTTCAAGCAAACTAAGTGAATTTTACACTTCTATGCTCGTTGCAGTTTTAGTGTGGTTTAGGACTCCTAAAGCCAGACTTGGTCCCAGCTTCTCAGTGACGGTATCCAATCAAATCTGTCTTTATCTTGCTCTTCCCATTTAGTCCTCAGAGTACAAGTACAACAGGCAGCTATTCCTGCTCAATGCCAGGGAATGGACCAAGAAATACGCAGGGCAGTCGAGGGTAAGGACCATGCTCTGCTCACTTGGTGTAGCTCCCTCTTGGTCTACAGTCCTTTTATCTGTTTCTCCTTCACAGTTGCTTTGTTCTTTCCTTCCTTCCCTTCTGCTCTGTGTTTTGGATCTGTATTTAATTTCATTAATTTTTTTTTTAAACTCATTACATTCTCTCCTTCCAATTCAATGTGCTTATTCACTAATAACTGCCGTGCTGCTTGAGGAGGAGGAGGGAGAGATGGATAAACCCTTCCCAGGGATCCTGCAGCCCTGTTCTCCCTCAGCTCTGTTCCCTGTCCTCCTGTGCCTGATGCCTACCTGCACCTGTTCTCCACCTGCTCATCCATTCCCTGACTGGTCTCCCTGTTCCCTGGTGGAGTTCAGCCTTTCTCCCATCATCCTTCCTCTCTTCTTCTCTGCCTCCTTTCCTCTCTGTAACCTCACCGAGTCTCATAAAAACAAAATCACACTTAAGCAGATCAAAACCTTTGCCCAAAAGTCAGTTACCTTTAGGCCTTCTCCCTTCCCTAGGTGCCTTCCCTCCCTGCACCTGTTTTGGGTAGCACCCTTTCTGGATGGGGATATCTTCCCTGTGAGCCATGCTCACTGCTCCAGCTCTGAAGGCATTTCCAAGTTAATTGTGGTTGTCAGGAGGGCACAGAGTGAAGCCATCTCTGCAATAACACACAGAGCCCTAGAGTGACCCAGCTGATCTGTGTGTGTTCTACTGTTCTGCTCAGTCATTATCTTGCTCTCCTGTCACCCCCTTCCTAAAAATCCCAGCAGCAGGAACAGAATAACAAAGGCTCACTTTGTAAGAGCCAGAGTACAGTTGGAGCACAGGGTTTTCCAATGCTGTAAAATTAAATTATTCACAGCTCTTTTATTTCTTGGGTCATCACAGGCTTCCAAGCCTTTGGAAGAGAAAATCATTCAAAGTGAAACAAGCACCAGCAATGAATTGACCATGCAGAAGAGAAAAGGGGTTGACATCAGCAGGAAGGAGAAGAAATCCCGCCCAGATTCCTGAGGGGGTTTTGTTCTCTTCGGGCTGTCTCTGTCCCCTTCCCGTCACACAGGTACAAGATCCCCTTTGGTCTGCCTTTAAAGAGCTGCACCAGCTTTGGGTTTCTGTTTCCTTGGGGTGTTACTTTTTACAAAAAGTTCCATTATATTAATAAAATATAAAGCTTCAATTAATATCTATTTTTCCATTTTGTTGACTGGATGTTTTGGAGTATTTGAAAGAAAAGGTGTGTTGATGTGGCACAGCCTGGTTTTTGGTAGCAGGAAAGGGCCACGGGAGCAGCTTCTGTGACAAGCTGCTGGAAGCTTCAACCATCTCTGACAAAGCAAATCTCTGATGGCTCTGAAGATGGACATGCTGCTGGCCCAGTTAGAGAGGTTGGTAACACCTCTGTGATGTTCTGTTTAAGGAGAAAATGGTGCAGTGGCTGCGGGCAGGAGGGCAGGATGGTGGCTTCCCCTTCCCATGCCCCACACGAGGAGAGGTGTTAAAGGTGCTGGGATAGCAGCAGTGGAAACAGGGAACGTGGAACCTGGATGAGATCAGCTTCTCAGCCCTGCAGGATCTTGCAAGGGTACCTGCAGGCAGCAGGTTTTCTTCCAGTCAGAGAAGAGGAGGGAGAAGTGGGAACATGTGAGAGGAAACAGTGTGGCAGCACCGAGGTCAGTGTGGGAGGAGGTGCTCCAAGCATCGGACACTCCTCTGTAAGCCATGGTGAGGACCTTGGTGAAACAAACTGTCCTCCAGTAATGTGTGAAGTCTACAGGGGATGCAGAAATTCACAGCCCAGGAGAAAAGGGCTCATGCTGGAATGGGAGGATGCCAGAGAAAGTTGTAAATCCACTGGGAGACCCAAATAGAGAGAGAGGGTCCTTGCTCCCAAACTGGAGCAGCCTGTCCTTAAAAGATTACATGCCCATGGATGAGTGACCCACACCACAGCAATTTTGGGAAAACTGCCCAAGGGAGGGACCTCCCAGCATATCAGAGAAAAGACTCTGCTCCCTGAGCAAACAAAAGATCTCAAGGAATGAACTGACCAAAACCCCACACCCTGTCTCCCTGTGGGAAAGAGGGAGGGGCTGGGGGAGAAAAAGGTGTTTACTTCTCATTATTCTCCTCTGACTCTGTAATAATAAAATCACTTTACACCTTTAAATATGAACCTGTTTTGCCTTTAGTGGCTTTTTTTCTTTCTTTTTTTTTTTTTTTTTTCATGAGTCCTTAACTCATGAGCCCTTTGGTTTTTTCCCCTGTCCTCTGCCCAACAGGGTAAGCGACAACTTTCATGCCTGGCATTTGGCCAGTGTCAAACCACAACACAAGGAAAACTATGACCACTGCTTCAGCTTCCAATTTCCAACTTTAGAGACATGGGAACAGCACCAAGTAGTTCAGTTTCTATTTTCACAACCAACTGAGAGCAGGAGCTGAGCAGCAGACAGGTCAGAAACAGCTGGTGGGAATCCTTTCCCAGGAAACTCTTAGTTTTCCATGTGATTTCAAGGGCTGTCATTTAACTCAAGCCTTACAAATCTGTCTCTCCAGAGCAGGTTCCAGTCAGACCATTTAGGATAACCTGGATTGTGTCATGGCTCTGTTATGACTCCAGGAGGTGGCCAGTGACAAGAACCAGCTTGCAGCAGGTGAGGAAGAGCCCAAAGGATTCCCAGAGATCTGGGAGGGTGGACGTGGAAGAGTGGGATGTCAGCAATGTGGTGTGCAGGGTGAAGAGGGCAAGAGGATTGGTCTAAGGAGGACAATTCTTGGTGCTTCCACAAAGGGAAGGGCTAGCAGAAGATCACAGTAGGAGCAAGCTTGGCCTCTTGCTCTGCAGGTTACCTACTGGGAATTTAATCCATATCTTGTCCCTGCTCCCAGGAAAGCAAGTCAGGCCCATCTCTGGAGCAGAGACAGGACTCAACGAGGTTTCCAATGCCTGCAAGCAGTGAAGCTCAGTGATGAGCTGATCTCTGCTGGGTGAGGAAGGTCCATGTCCTCAGCTGCTCCCAAAGCCCCAGGCATGTCCTTGTCCAACTCAGTCAAAGTTGTAGTAAAGGCAGAAAGCGAAGAACATGGCAAAGATCTGGAATGATGGAGGTGAGAGAGGGTCAACCCCATGGCAGGGCCAGGCTGGGCCTGCAGATGGAAGCAGAGAGGGGCTGGAGGATCCCTGGCCTGGGGCCACTGCTGTGCCCCTCGAGGGGTCTGGGCCAGCTGTCCTGGTGCTGCACAGGGACACCCAGGGTGAGGAGACCCAGGGGGAGTAAAACAAACCCTCCCTTGTTCCTTCACCTGCCCCATCTGCAGTGGAGAGCAGGCTCTGTACCCTGAGACAGACCTGAGCCCCTCTGTGCTCTCCTTGCCCACTGAGCAACCCCCACACCACCAAGAGTGGATGCTCTGCCTGCCCTGGCCCTGACCCCCCTCATTACCTCAATGCCCAGCACGGCTAAGCTGCAGGTCCCAGGGAGGGAGATGTACCTCTGCAGCGTCCTGCCAAAGGTGAAGAAGCAGCCCTGGGGCAGAGAGAGGATGGAGAGGCTCTCTCATGTTCCCCATGGCCACAGGGACCCAGAGGGGGACCAGAGTGCAGGGGGATGTGGGGGGGTCCCCTGTGGGGCAGGACAAGCTGAGGGCTTTGGGAGCCACTGGACTGCGGAAGCACAGACAGGCAATGTCTCAGGCTTCTGTCCCTTATGCTCTGCTCCATGAGCCTGGGAAGGGCTGAGGCTGGGACAGGGACACAGAGACAGAAGGGTTGTGTCATACCTGCTCATGGATGTAGCCAGGGCTTCTGTCCTGGCACTGCTCCCAGCCTAGGAGCTCTCCTGCCAGCAGAAACCCATCCCGGGCACAGCACGCCTGTGGCCATGGCATCCCTGGGTGCAGCTCCTGGAAGCGGGAGCCATTCCCAAAGTCTTTGGGTCCTAAAACACCACAACACGAGAACTGGAACAGAAGGGAAACACCATCACCGTGGTCACCCTTGGTGGATCCTGCGTGTCCCCCAGGAGCCTCCCAGGTGCTCACCGTGACCATGAGGGTGTTCCAGGCTGTGGAGAAGACCTCAGCGCTCTCATCCCCACCGTAGTTCTTCTGTAGCTCAGACAGGAAGTGCTCGGGCTGCACCTGTGGAATTGATGCCAGGGCTGGGAATGTTCCTCTCCCACCCTGCTCAGCAGCAGCTCCTGCTGAGGGGAGCTGGGCACCCACTGGATCCCCCCCACCTGCTTTGAGGTGTGTGTTGTGCTGGTGACAGAAGTGAGGGGAAGGGTGTCCCTAGACCAGCCCCGGTCGCCTGGTGGGCTCTGAGCCATGGCCATGGTGTGACAGAGGAAGGCTGCTGACGCTGGGGATGGTGTGAGTACCTGTTTCCAGTGCACCAGGAAGAGAATGGCCCCAACAAGCTGTGCGAGGAAGACGAAGCTGACAAGGATGAAGAACTGGAAGGCAGCAGGTGAAGGAGTCAGAGACCAGTCTGATCCCACACGCAGCCTGCTCACATTATCCCTGCCTTCCTCTGCACCAGTCCTGCCTGTGCTCTGTGTCCCTGAGACCAGGGACATGTGTACAGCTCCTGGGGACAAGATGCCACATCTCTGACCACAGTGGCTGCAAGGCAGGGGTTAAAAACAAGCACTGCCTGCAAGGGACTGGGGATGCTGAAGAAACAGGGGTCTTGGTGCTCAAATAGGCATTTCTGTCCCTCACCAGCAGTGGGGTCATCTTGGAAATGCCATGTGGGCCAAGCCAGTGTCTTCAGAGGGAATTGACTCTACTTGGTGGCTTTATAAATCCTCTGGGCTCTAAGCTGAGACTCACAAGGTGGGGAGTGGATGGCAGGACATATTGAGGATGAGGAACAGCAGCTCCTGGCTCTTCCAGGAATACCTGCATCCCCCCACTACCCTCCAGCCTGTGACTCCTGCCCCCAGTGCCCCCTGCCCACATCCTGCAGCCCCTTCCCACCCATCTTCCCTCCCTCACCAGCAGCAGGAGCGGGCGGCTCCGGCGCAGGGCCCCGCAGCAGCCCAGGAAGCCCAGCAGGGACAGGGCAATGCCCACAGCCAGCAGCAGCCATGCACCTGCGCTCAGCACGGACCTGGCAGCCACGATGTCCTGGAAACCAGCCGGGTCTGTGGCCACCCACACTCCCATGCCTGTCAGGCATGTCCCCCCAGCCTGCAGGAGGAAATCAGGAGATGATAATGGGCTCAAGGGATGTCCAAGGCTCAGTCCCCTCCCTGGGGGCTCCCTGAGCCAGATGTAAATGTCACCCCATGTGGATGTGGGATGCTTCAACCCTTGGTTCCCTCCCTGGGACTGGTGTCACCCACCCTGAGCCAGCTGGTGATGTCACTCCCCAGGCAAGGTTCCCCTCCACCCCTGCACCCCACAGGGCCCAGGTGGACTCACAAACACCAGCACGTTGAAGACGAACATCAGGTACTTCATGCAGCTCAAGACACCCATGGAGACACCAGGAGGGGGGGACACAGCAGTGTTTGTCCCTGTGGAGGGGAGAGCAGAGCCCTGGCCACAGCCAGCCCTGACTTGTCCTGGACCCCATGGCTCCAGCAGAATGTGGGGAGATCCCAAAATTCCCAGATCATTTTCTACCTCCACCATCTCCCATCACACCCCAAAAAGCCCCAAACCTGTGTTCTCTCCAAATCCATGTCCCCTCCCAATCACGTCCCCTCCCTTCACAAGTCCCATGTCTCCTGTCCTGTGTCCCATCCAAACCCTGTGTCCCCTACAAACCCTGCGTTCCCTCCAAACCCTGTGTCCCTTCCAAACCCAGGTCCTCTCTAAATCCTGTGTTCCCTTCAGCCCTTTCATCACTCACCCTGTGGGGATAGTGGGCAACCCAGGTGCCTCTAACCTTCCCTGGCACTGCCAACACCTATATAGCATCACCAAGGTTGGAAAATCCCTCCTCCCTTCCCACACCAGCAGCCCCCAAGAAATCCCTTCCAGCCGCGAGGCCATGAATGATTGATGGGGAACAGGAGCCACCATTGTGCCTCTGGCGGCCGGGAGTCTCCGGCTCTTGTCAGCCAAGGAAATGAAACCTGTGGGCAGGGAAAGATGAGCCACCCCACTGGGCCAGGGGTGACCTCAGCCACTGATCATCGCTGTGGCCATTCGGGAAAGCCTTCAGTGGCCACAGCTGGGACCCGTGGGCAGGCAGGTGCTGCTGCAGGGACACAGGGACAGCACAAATGGATGACAGGGTCTGTCCCCTCTTGTTGCTGATGGAGAAATGGAGATGATTCATGCTAACTAAATTGTAACTATTTGAAAAGTTGTTATTATAAAGCAATAAAGGGAATTAGTGTTACAAGGCAGATGGAGCCCTTTGCAGATGTTACAGGTTAAAAATAGGATACAGGATGTAGTTTTAAGATAAATAATGTCTCAGGACAGAATTGACCTTGAGATGGACAAAGCTGGAACAACTTCAAGCATAAGGTTTGAAATGATGGTTTTAACTACGAAGTGCGAGGCTAATTATTGGAACATAATGCTTGCTTACATCACACAATGCTTAGTACACATGAGCAACCTGTGAGGTGATCCAGAGGGTAACGAGGATGAGTGTAAGCTTTCATCCAAAGACCACCAGAAGAAGACTGAAGACTGAAGCAACAAGTGAAGCATGAACCATGAAGTACAGTGATGTAGAATTTAAGAATTGAAAGTGGGAGGAAACTTACAGGAAACATTAATGAATATGTATAAGCATGTAGTATATGTTTAGTTTGAATTGCTTTGTTTGGTATGTGAGGTGGGGTGAGAAGCCCTCTCTGTACCCTGCTCAGTTTTGCTTATGTTTTAATCGTACTTAGTTACTGGCAAATTACATACATAAATTGTATTTTTTTTACTAAATTGTATTCATTTATACCAAATTGCTATTCAATTGACTAAACAGTATTCTTTTACTAAATTGTATTTTTCATACCAAATTGCTATTCAATTCACTAAATTGCATTTCTTTTTAATTTAATTGCTGTTAACTCAATAAACCTAATTGTCTAATTTCATTTATAACACTGACTTTAGGAGCTCTCTAAACACAGTCACCTTAGAAAGGAAACATTATTTATTCTGCACCAGGTACAAAGAGGAGGTTTCCACAAATCAAGCACACTGAGGGGTAAAAAGTTAAATCTTTTACACAGGAAATTTACATGAACCCGTCTATCTAAAGCATATTCTTCACTTGCCTAATACATATTCCTTTTGGTGATGTGACTTTGCTCAATGTTTGAAACACAAAGTTCTTTTCTTCATTAAAGTATCTTCTCTTGGAGAAGTTGAATTTTGACAGCTAGGTTTGCAAAAGGTGAGATAATTGATCCTAGGGGCAGAGAATTCATCTTGAATTGATAGATAATCCCAGATAATTCACCTTGAATTGGTAGATAATTGCAGATAATTCAGGATGAACTGATAGATAATCGCAGATAATTCACGATGAATTGATAGATAATCGCAGATAATTCACGATGAATTGATAGATAATCGCAGGTAATTCACGATGAACTGACAGATAATCCCGGATAATTCACTTGAAGGCGGTGTCGGCGTCCCCGCAGCCCCCGGGCGCTCGGGGCTCTGTCCCCCCGCTCCGAGCCAGCAGGGGGCAGCCGAGCGCGAAGCCATAGAGCCGAGCGGGGCGGCCAGAGCGCCTCCCGCCAGCACCCAGCGAGGCGGCTCCACCAATCGCAGAGAGCGCTGGCCGGAGAGGCGGGATGAACGAGAGACAGACAGGGATTCTGACCAATCACAGAGCGTTTCCCCCAGGGTGGGGCCCTGGGGGCGCGGCCCCGAGGCCGGAAGCGGCGCTGTGCCTTCCCGTTCCCTCGGCGTTGCTTCCGGTGCCGCCGCCGCCCGCGGGATGTAGCGGCCGGTGAGGGACGG